TCTCTCTCTCTCTCTCTCTGTCTCATTGTGTCATACGGATTACTGTTAATTTATCATGTTGATCTGTTCTGTACGACATCTATTGCACGTCTGTCCGTCCTGGAAGAGGGATCCCTCCTCAGTTGCTCTTCCTGAGCTTTCTACCGTTTTTTCCCCGTTAAAGGGTTTTTTTTGGGGAGTTTTTCCTGATCAGCTGTGAGGGTCATAAGGACAGAGGGATGTCGTATGCTGTAAAGCCCTGTGAGGCAAATTGTGATTTGTGATATTGGGCCTTATAAATAAAATTGACTGATTGATTGATTGTTAGGGTCGTCATGGACATTTTAATTTTCTTCACCCTGACACCCAGAAACCGACCAGTGAAGCTGAAATGATCAATTTATTACTTGATTTTCTCACTGACAGAAAATCAATTAGCAAAAACTTTGGAAACTGATTCATCGTTTCAGTCAAAAGAAAATTAAATAAAAATAACAATAATAATAATACTGATAGTTCTTCATGTCATAGTTTTTGTGATAAACAGAGGGAGAATATAAAGTATATTTACTCAGTTACTATACTGAGATACACGTCTGACGTACCTGTACTTCCCTAGCCTGAAGCTACTTTCACCCACACGTACGAAAATAGGTAGGTACGTGTAACGTCCCAAGACATACAAAAATACGTCTTGGAGCCATGTCCTGAACCCAACAGGAAGTCGGCCATTTTGAATTCAATATGGAATTTTTGTGCATTTTTGGCTGTTTCCAGGGGTTGTACTTTAATAAACTCCACTGACTGGAATAAATTTGAAGAAATTTGATGATCTTGACATTTCGTGTTCACGAGAATGAGGTCACAGTGACCTTGACCTCTGACCTATGACCACTGATTTCTTATCAGTCCATCTTTGACTCCAGGTGTACGTTTGTGCCAAATTTGATGAATTTCCCCTCAGGCATTCTTCAGATGTTCACAAGGATGGGATGGACAGACGGACTGACAACCTAAAAACATAATGTCTCTGTCCTCGGCTGTCACCGGCGCAGAGGCATAAAAATGGTAAACAATTAAAAATCAACAGGGTTTTTGAGAGTTGATCTCGAGTGTGTCAATGTTTGTGTTCACTCCTGTTCATCTCTACAGAGACAGCAACAGGTGGAAGGTGGCATTAATAACCCCCCGTACACACAAACTGAAATGAAGATGTTGTGTTAGTGCACCAATCAGAGAGCAGAACCCTGTTAATGAAACCAGAGGAGGAGGAGGAGGAGGAGGAGGATGTTAGCGGACAAACCAAACACGGAGGAAGCAGCAACATACTATTCCCGCTCCTCCAGGTCGCTGAAACGCTTCTTCAGTCTTCAGGATGGAAACAGAAAGAGAATCACAAGCTGCTGCGAGACACACAGTCGCCGTGACGATGACCGACAGGAACAAAAACTCAAGAGTCACTCGTTTAAACAAAACATCACCACCCAGTTTCATCCGACGGTCGACAGGAAACCGTCGTATTCATTTCATTCATTTCCTCTCAACACCTCGTTAAAGTTCATCTGACATCTGAAAAAAACTCTTCTTCTTCTTCTTCTTCTTCTTCTGCAGCTTGACTGTCTTTATTTTTTTTTTACCCCAATGGCCACACGAGGCACCAATGAGCTCATAAAACTAATTATCAAATGTCATCGGCTACGTGTCATTTCTGACTTGTATAACTTCCACTGCGTAACATAAACGTCAGCTGATGCACCTTGAAGTTAATGTTTCTGTATACGTTACCTTGACAACAGTCTGTTTACCTGCGACTCACCGCCACAAACAGTTGTGACGTTCTGGCTCAGAGGTTCTCTTCATGTTCCGCATCTTTGAAATCTCGGCTTTGTTTGTCACCATGTCGTGTACAGAAGCCAAGAACGCCCGTGCTCGCAAATCATTATTTTTTTTGAATGCTGTTATTTTGATATTACAATTTAATTATTTCATTACCTTGGAAAAATGAGCTTTGTGAGCTTTGAGAAACTGGCCGTTTGTTTTTTCATAAACTGACATAAGTTAAGCTGTTATCACGATAAAATGAGGTTTGTTATCTCGAGATAACGACAAAAATGACCTGTGATCACAGCAAAGTTGAATCTCATGTAAAATCATCTCGTTATTTCCAGAAATTTGCCTTTTATTTTCTCAATAATGACTTTGATGAACTTGTTATTATCACACAGGAACGAGCTCGAGGCAACAAGATAAATAATCCCCGAGCGTTAGACAGTTGTTTTCTAATGATAAATTATCTCGTTATCTTGACATAATGAAGAAAATCTTGTGATCTCGAGACAACAAGATTAAGAAAATAACTGCAAACACATCCGTTCTCAGCATCTGTATTTTTGAGACCACATGGATCAGTCAATCAATATCCATGTCTGGTCACCATGACAACACATCTGAAATTCACAGAAACTGAAGCAGCTGTTTGAAACAGGAAGGTGTCAGTTAGGAATAATTCCGACAGAGTTCAGTTTGATAAATGTTCGTCTTTGTTGTCCTCGTCACAGATGTTTGTTCTGACCACTCTGTATCGGAGGAGGAAGACTCCGCTGAAGTCTCACAATCGGTTATGTTCACTTTATTTTCACACAGAAGAAGAACTGCGGGCTCAGTCCTCCAACGTTTACACTGACATCACACCTGTGTTCGGTGTAAACACTGAAAAACTGTTGAAACGTTCACCTGACACTGACCTGAGACAGAACACCTGTCCTTTAACATGACAGACACAGAATCCGCTCTGTGATCTGACTCATGTGCTGTGAAGCTTCTTGGGAACAGTAAAGATTTATGTCATTTCCTGTTGGAAACGTTTCTGCTCCAGGTGAGCTTGTGTCTGTGTGTTTCATTTCAGTCTTTATCAGTCAGTCGAGTTACTCCTGTTGGGAACAACCACCTGCGTGACATCACTGATGATGACATAAGAGAACTGATGGATGAAAGATAACAGGTGTGTTTACCTGTCGGCGTCAGTGACCAGCGCCAGGCGGCCATAGTCCCACGCAACCTTACGTAGAATGGAAAAAACGAAGAGCAGCACCTGAAATAGAAGAAGAAGAAGGGAGGACTTCCTGTTAGACTCATGATGGTTAAAATCAAACAGCTGATGCTGAACGTCAGGGGTCAAAGGTCACTGACAGCTGGTGATGTCACCCTGTCGTTACCACAGAAACAAGGGATAACCCTTTCAAAATAAGAGGAAATGTGTCATTACAGCAGGAGAGTGGTGGAACGTCAGAATGTGGGTCGATCCATGAAGCTGCAGTATTGATTTTTCCAACAGTCAGTGAACATCACTCTGCAGTTCCCACAGTGCAACACACCAAGTTCACCCGAACATCTGCTCACTGTCTGTCTGATGGACGCTGTGGTCCCACAATGCATTGCAAAGAGGGAAGAGAGGAGCTGCTGACAGCTGCAGCTCACCTGGCTCGTAGGAGATGAATCGCCGCAAGACGCGACGCCACTCGATGACGGTAAGAATAACACACGCTGACACATCACTCAACTTAACGACACGTTAAAAAAAGGTTATATTTTATCAATATTTATTTAGACATTTTTTGGACATTTTATTAATATTTTCTAACATTTTAATAATAATTTTCTGACATATTAATAAAATAGTTTGAAAACTGTAATGTTGTAATTTTTTTGGGAGATTTCAAAAATATTTCTCTGGACAGTTTATTTTATTTGTTTTTCAATAATATTTTTTCGGACATTTTGATGTCGTACCCAAGTTTATTAGATCCATGTGGCTGCACTAAAGTGATCGGACTGATCAGATGTAGGAAGGTTTATAGATCATGAAAAAAAAAATCTCTCTGATTAATAAAATGAGAGTTGATTATTGGTTATCTAATGAGGCCGACAGTTAACTCAGATCACAAAGAGATGTCGTTGACAGTAACGTGATGTTGTGATGAAACAGATCCAATCACCAACAGATCTGTCGCCTCCTCAGAGCAGCACTGGACCAATCAGGTAAAGGAACCCCCCAATCTGCCTGTTGTGTCTGTGCACCTGCCGTACTGAGCGTGTGCGGTGACAGCAGCGACTCACCAGGAAGCACATGAAGTCGAGGGCGAGCACGGTGGGCACTCCTCCGAACGGAAGCCCCTGCAGCACCGTGCTGCGGATGCGAGCCGAGTAGCAGTAGTCTCTGGACTCGCTGTGGGCGGAGCAGTTGTCCTGGCCGCTGCACGCCTGGCTGCTGCCTAATGTCGTCATGGTAACGATCAGCACTCAGAGCATGCTCAGTGCCGCATCCTCGCAGAGAACCTGAGGGAGGAAGAGGAGACGTTAGGAACAGTGACCTTTGACCTTTAGACTCATAGACATAGACATACACATCAATCAGCCAATCGATCGATCAGCTGAGCTCCACCTGTTAACCCTTTAACACCCAGTAAAATATAAACTAAAGAACAGTGATTATTTTCAGCCTTAGTTTGTTGTTATGTTGTGACGTTCACATTTTCTCTTTAAGTCAAATAAACTTGAGACATGTCAGCTCAAACACAAACATGACAAACAGGTCGTTAAATATTCTGCTGCTTTATCAAAAAAACACTGGCAGAAGAAATCTGACTCTGTATCGACACCAGAGTCTGTGCTGATACATACACTCACCCTCCACTTTATTAGGTACACCTGTTCAACTGCTTGTAAACACAAATAGCTAATCAGCCAATCAGGTGTCAGCAGCTCATTAACATTTAGTCATGTAGACATGATGAAGACGAGCTGCTGAAGTTCAAACGGAGCATCAGAATGATGAAGAAAGGTGACTGAAGTGACTTTGAACGTGGCATGGTTGTTGGTGCCAGACGGGCTGGTCTGAGTATTTACTGGGATTTTCAGCACAACCATCTCTAGGGTTTACAGAGGATGGTCCCAAAAAGAGCAAATATCCAGTGAGCCAAAATGCCTTGTTGATGCCAGAGGTCAGAGGAGAATGGCCAGACTGGTTCAAGATGATAGAAAGGCAACAGGAAGTCAAATAAGCACTGGTTCCAACCAAGGTGTGCAGAAGAGCATCTCTGAAGCAACAACACCTTGTCCAACCTTGAAGCAGATGGGCTACAGCAGCAGAAGACCACACCAGGTGCCACTCCTGTCAGCTAACAACAGGAAACTGAGGCTACAATTCACCAAAACTGGACAATAGAAGATTGGAAAAACCACATTCAGATGGAAGCATGGATCCATCCTGCCTTGTATCAACGCTTCAGGCTGCTGCTGCTGGTGTAATGGTGTGGGGGAGATTTTCTTAGTACCAACTGAGCATGGTTTAAACACCACAGCCTACCTGAGTATTGTTGCTGAGCGTGTCCATCCCTTTATGACCACAGTGTACCCATCTTCTGATGGCTACTTCCAGCAGGATAACGCACCATGTCACAAAGCTCACATCATCTCAAACATGACAATGAGTTCACTGTACTCCAATGGCCTCCACAGTCACCAGATCTCAGTCCAATAGAGCACCTTTGGGATGTGCTGGAACGGGAGATTCTCATCATGGATCAACTGTGTGATGTCATCATGTCAATATGGACCAACATCTCTGAGGAACGTTTCCAGCACCTTGTTGAATCTGTGACACCAAGAATTAAAAAGGGGTCCAACCTGGTACCAGCAAGGTGTACCTAATAAAGTGGCCACTGAGTGTATATGTACAGCATAACTCTGTTTACCGTGTAGATGTGTGTGTGTGTGTGTGTGTGTGTACATATATTTTTTTACATTCATACGGGTAAATTTTAAATTTTATATTGTAAATTTTTGGGGATGTTTTGTATTAACTTCATATATTAATATACTTTCTCTGCTGTTTTTAGATGAGCCACATTACAAACAAAGGATTTGGGTTCTTTTAGGAACTGATTTTAGATTTTGTGCTCAGCTTCCTGTTTGTGTTTGATTGTGAAGGTAGCTGCCGTATGAAGTCATTTCCTGTAGGATCAAAAAAGTGTGTATCACAGAGTAGGGCAGGGCTGCACAGATAAACATCAGCCGATAACAGGAAGTTTATAATCTGATAATGAAATGATAGCTGATGATGGCGGCAGCTACACAGCATGACACAGTGGGTGGCAATATACAGCTTTAAAGCTGCCAATAAACACAGAGAAGAAGAAGCACAACATGCTGACTCAATAACAAATCCTGTCACTGATGTGGACGTGTCTCACAGTTCCAGAGAAAGACATCACGACTGCCCTGAGGGTCTGATCCCCGATCGCCCGACTCCCCACCTGATCAGCAAACTTCCTGCTAACGTTAAACAGGTCAGAGACAGCGCTGAAGGACGAGGGACCATCTCTGGAGCGTTAGCACGAGCTGACATCCAACACTGAGCCTTAAAACAGTCCCAACACACTCAGACTGAAAACACTCGACTGTGTCATTGAGCTCATCAATACTAACACTGTGTGTGTGCCAGCGGACTGTTGACAACCATCCCCGACATGGAGACACCTGCAGCAGCACCTTTGAGTCTTGACAGGGAGGCGGAGTAAATTTACTTCCTGTTTCAGTGACAGATGATGTCGAAGCTTTTGATTCAGTTCTTAGGCCCTGATCACACAGGAAGTGCTTCAGCAGCTGGAGGCGGCTTTTTGTCAGTTTTAATGTGAATGAAACTTTTTGCTCGATGTTTTTGCGACGCGCCACGTGTTTCTGTGCTCTAGGCGTCTGGCGTTGTTGCCGGAGCGAATCGAAAAAACTTAAACTCAGAGCAGAAAAGCGCCCCACGTCATCTCTGCTTTTCTCCCATTGTCCAATGGGATGATCTGAGAGGCGGGGCTTCTGTGGTGGTCACGACAACAAGTTTACAGTTGGTAACCAATGGAGGAGAAACTGGTGGTAGTGGTTGCTGGATACCCAGAGCTATACGACTTTACAAAGCACAGTTAGCACCATCTCAATAGAAAACAGCAGATAAGTGCAGTACTGTAAACGTCCATGATGGAGGAGAAGCTCCTGGACCAACTGGTGGTACTCCCCATGATCCAGCCTCTTTTTTAGGGTCTCATGTACCCACACAGATCTCTGTTTATCTGCTGACAGCCTCTCACCCTCAACCAGAGCTACAGACAGCACCCTCTGCCTCAACATGGCAGCAGCTACACACTGATTACTGCAGGATACACACAATAAATAAAGATTACACAGGAAGGTTAGGGTGAGGAGGTGATGGGGTGGTTGCCTGGCAACAATAAAAAGGCACAGCAGGCTTTTTTTTCACTGGTGGTGAAGGTTTAAAAAAAAAAAAAAAGGTTTGGACTTTAAATCAATGTGTGAAGAGTCGGAACAGTGACGTCAGACAGACGTGGAATATCAAATCATCCATGTCCTCTCACTTCATCTGAGCCTCTGGTCTGAATGAACTCAGGTTATAAACTTACTTTTAAAATATGAAAATGTGAATTAATCAGTTATCTCATTGATCATCGTTATCATCCCCAGTGAGCAGCTCAGCACTCCTTCCTGTGCTGCTCACGCTGCAGAGACCAGCTGTCATACACAAGTTTAACATCACACCGCTGTGCACCGCACATTTCCTCCGTCCACATACGACCACACGTTGCTCCTCTGAACGTCTGAGTTTTTGTTTTATGGATCAGTGATGTCACAGACGATCAGTCGGGCTGAGTCACTCATTAATCATCAACACATCACAGCTGGACACGAGCCGACCGATGAGGAGCTGACTACATTTCCCAGCATGCCTCAGCAGCAGACAGCTTCCTGCTGTGTGACCCACTGATCCCGTTGCCACAGTAACCCTGACTACAGCTCCTGACCCAGTTTTCACGCCTCGGCGGGCGTTTGTCACAAAACCAGAGTGACGGCGCTCCAGATGATGTCACTGTGACATCACATCGCACTGAGAACAAAGAGAGGACGCAGCTGATGCAGTTTATTTACAGAACGCTCTGATTATATCCAGAAAATCATCATCATCATCATCATCATCAGTATATTACTGCTGGATCATTAATATTTCCTGGTCTGATGATCAATCAATCAGTCAATTTTATTTATAAAGCCCAATATCACAAATCACAATTTGCCTCACAGGGCTTTACAGCATACGACATCCCTCTGTCCTTATGACCCTCACAGCTGATCAGGAAAAACTCCCCAAAAAACCCTTTAACAGGGAAATGATGTCACTCCTCACAGTCAGAATTTATTCCACCATTTCCTGGTGTTTATTTTTTGTCTTGGTTCTATCTGAGGGAAAATCAGGATCTAAATGATGAAACTACAGTTCCCAAAATGCTTTGGGGGATGTAACCCCCCCCCCGTTGCCATGGTGCAGCAGCATGACTCATCTGAAGCCTGCAGACTCAGAGCTGCAGACTCACAGCAACCAAACACATTAGCCCCCATTAGCATTATTAGCTTAGCTGAGGCTAAAAACAACTTGTAGTCCTCTTAGTTTAACCCTTGATGACCCGCAACATCTCAACTGGACCCTGAAAACTTCACCCAGGTCTAAGACCCCCACTAGCTCCTGTTAGTGTAGTCCAGGTCTAAGACCCCCACTAGGTCCTGTTAGTGTAGTCCAGGTCTAAGACCTCAGCAGTCCCGGTCCTGATTGAAACACTAACTGGTTTTTGAACAGCTGACGTCTCTTTCAGTGTTTGTGTAGTTTCAGTGAGGAACCACTGAGCAGCTAAAAAAAGAAACGTCCTCTCGACTGGCATCTGCAGCCCTCAGTTAACACCTGGGAGCGTCCGTGACGCCTCGTGTGAACATATTCATGATTAATATGATCAGTGTGGTTTCGACAGACTGACCACAGATCTGCAGTTTGTCTCCTCTCTGTTAAAATAAAAGAGGAGTGAACTCAGACAGATCCTGGGTCAGTGGGTTTTAACTGTCTTCTCTGTGAACACAAACGTCTTCAGCTCTGCGCCTTCGCTCTGATGTCACTGACAGTGTTATCAGTGGGCTGCAGGCGTCCATCACTCTGAACTCTGTGACCCTGAACTGATAAAACTCTGAACCAGGACAGGCTGATGAGACGGCCTCCACACAAACAAACTGAGAGGACAAAACATGGAGTCATGTGATTGGACAGTTCTGT